ACAGTGGTAAGTACTATAAAACTCAAATTTTAAGCTATTTTTTAAAAAATAAAAGTTAGCTGTGGCCATGTATAAAACAAACATATTTTCCATATGCTTTCAATCTCATGTTGAGATAAATGCACATTCATTTATAAAGGCACCAAAAAAGTCAATAATTTGATTCTATAGTCATCACAACTTTGCATTTAACAAATGGGGGAAGAAAGCAACGGTGCGGAAATTATAGTCAGCAGAGAATCTAAAAATGCAGGAACCAAAGAAATTCATAAGTTTTCTTTCTACGGCAATGATACCCCAGGTACTTTCAATATAAGTCTTTTGAGTTCAGAACTGTTTTTAACAACATAGGATAAATGCATTGTGCATCTATGGGAATCATTACAAAATATGATGATTATAATATATTTGGATCCTCCATGTTTGTGAGATAGAGTGAATTTTTATTTCATTTAAGGAAAAAAGTCTACTCTGCAATACATGCTTTGTAAACTTTAAATAGAAAATAATTTTGAGCGAATTGTTCTGTTCTCAAGAAGCAAAGCATGTAACCATATTTACTGATGAATGAAATCACTCAACTAAAATAGCGAGAAAGCCAATAATTGTTATGCTTCTCAACTTCTTGATAATCTTTAGACAGAATTTTCTAAAGGTATTTTCCCCTGAGTACTTTGGCAAATACATCAAGTTGAATAGGGATTAGATAAATTTCTGTTCAAGTAACACTGAGGCTGCTGCCTCATTTGAAAAGCAGATAGTATAATGCAAATACAGGTCCTTCCTTCACAAAAATATCTCTAGCCACTGAGGCTTAAACAGTTCCACTAATATAGGTAAAGAAGGGCCATACCATTAAATTGATTACTCACTATGAGCATGTTATGGCTTGTAAGAGCATTTCATATTTATTAATTACTTGCAGCTTATGATATCCCTATCAGGGGTTCTAGGTTAAACCTTGCAATAGTTCCCTTTTGGTTGAGGAAGTGACACTGACCTCTATGGGATGGGTCTTGATTTCATGTTTACAGACCGTTAAGCTCATGTCTGTTAGTTGCAGATAGCGCAGTAATACGTAAGCTCCTCATAATTCACTAGTGTGCCTTCCTTTAGTAGTTAGTGTAGAAGGACATTCGAGGAAACCAGTACCAAGCCAGGGATTAAGAGGACTGCTATGTGAGAGTATCAGAGTCAAGTCGGGGGCATCATGAATGTTAATTCATTCAACAAATGTTTATTGATAGCTGTCTGATGCAAGACACAGGCCAGGTACTGCATATCCTGGGTATCTTATAGTAGGGGACGCAAAAGAAGAAGAAGATGCAGGTAGGACAAATCATGCCTATTTCACCCATTTTCATTTTGTTAGCCTGAATGTACCTTTGTGGATTTCAGGAATTACATGGTACCTCCAGAGCTGGGAAAAAATTCTAGCTTCTCCCAAACTATTTAATTTGCTACCAGGGATAATTTACTATCTAGAGGAATGTGAATTAATCGCATTTGTCTAAATAGATGAAGACATGATGATAAAATATTTTGCAGTACAGTATAATAAAAAAGGTTTAGTAATACCCAT